AAAAAAAAAAAAAAAGAAGTCGTCATCTCTTTTTAACTCATCAAAGTGTTGCTGGAAGGTTGTAATCCTTCATTGATTATATGGGTGACTTTTAACACTGTATTCTGTAATTTGGTCCTTTAATGTCTGTGCTATTTGAAACACTTAAGCAACTTTCGGTAATGTCCATCTTGCTGTTGCATCAGTTTCTTCATCTTTCTCTTCTTCTGTTGATAACCAGTTCGTTTAATTTGTCTTTTTTTTTTTTTGAGAGGTTTCTTGCTATAGGGCGTGTGCGCTCACCAGACAGATAGAGAGACATAGAGACAGAAAGCGAGAAATCACCTCCCAGGGGGGATGATCACGCCACAGTCTCTTCTCCTCCACTCTCCTCTCGGGATCTTGGGCACGCACGCACACGCGCCCGGCGTGAGTTTTAAGCCACTGGGTCTGGGACACGAACCGCGGTCGACTACGTGGGAGTCCAGTGACTTAGCCATTACGCTAAGTGCTGGTCCCATAATTTGTCATTTTTTAACACTTTTCTGTGTCCTTGGTATGTTATGCCACTTCTTACTGTGTGAATGATTTTCCTTAACTTTTCTATCAATCCCTGGGAAACTTTATAATTCTTCATAACTGTAATTCCTACGTTCTTCCAACAGGCGTTTGGTTTCTGGCCTTGTTCAGCTGCTTTAGCTTGATAAATGTTACCGTGTCAGCAGCAGTGAATGGTTTCATCTGGACATTATGTATGGATTAGATCTGTGTCAATTGCTGATCAAATGAATTGAGTATCTAGTGGATCTGTGTTACCTTGGCAGTCTGAATGTCAAGGGGCTGAAGCAGTAAGGTTTTATTGAGAGATAAAACTATACCCTAAACATCTATATTTTATTGAAAAAATGTTTCCATCAGTTCTTTGCGCATACATGCACATGTACCTGGCATGGTTTTCAAGCTGCTGGGTCTGGATCTGGGAGTCAAACCATAATAAACATTGTGGGATTTAGCTTCCTGTGCCACTTGTGCCATGGAGCCACTCTGACATCATTTTCATAGCAAACAGATTTGGAATGGCTAGGAGCATTATCGGTTACTAATAAAACTTTAGATTCCAGCACTTCCTCTCAAGTATTTTGACTTTTGACATGAAGCTTTGATGGGACTGTTCATTGGCTATCATCCACATTTTCTGATTGTTTAGCCAGAACACAGGCAGATATTTTTGGTTTCTGTTTTAGAAAGCGTGTGGATTCTTTGCTCTATGTGCTATGCCTGGCTTTATTGTAAACCCAGCAGCGTTGCTGCATGGTACTAGAATTAATTTAAGTTTCTGCTTTATTTCCTGCTACCTTCTTTGCAGTTTTAGGAATGTAGGTTTTATTGTGCTTCTTTTTTAAAAGTCCTGACTTCATTGCAGTTGAAGACTAGGCTTTTGATGGTATTCTTTCTTTCCATCTTCTCTCTCTCTTTTTTTTTTTTAATTTATAGTATAGCATGTGCACACACATGGGGATCAGGGGGAGAGAAGAGCACTCTTCATGGGTTCTGGTCATCATCCACTTCCTCCAGTCCTCCTTTCTGATGGGTCCGCAGCACTTGCATATGGGTCCAGCATGTTTTATGTTGACTGGGCCACGATTTGATCCACAGTTACCATGTGCTAGCTGGCTTCTCTTGAGCAGCACATTAACACTGCACTATGGAGCTGGCCCATATTCTTCCTTGATGAGCATCTTTAACTGCCAGAAATGTCTCAGGCACTCCCTTATCTGCAGATAAAATCTCTCCCATATTGCTTATATTTTTCAGTCCGATCTATCTATGAATCTTTGTAACTGTGTGTTACTGCAGTAAATAGCTTGGTGTCAGTTATATCAGGGATCCTTTGCTGAAGTATTTATATAGATAGGCTCAATGCTTTCTGGTGCAATATGTCAGCTGGGCCACATTTTTCATTTATGTTTTCCACCTATAAATTTAAGGTTTTCCATCTTGACCTAGCACTTACCAATGTACTGTGACCAAAACTTTTATGATTTGAGGTGAAACAGCAAAACTAATGTGAATTTCCTTTTCCTTCTTCACAATTTCATAGATTTCTTCTTACCACAGGTTTTAGCATGTCAGGATATGATTATTTTTCTTTACTTAGTAAGTCTAGAACTTGGACCTTTTCATTTAAAGGAAGCACTTTGTGGCTTCTCTTTGGCATATCTCAGTTGCCAGCATCACTACTCTTGCACTTTGGGGCCATTGGTATGAAAATTTAGGAATCCTTGAACACAAGCAATACCATAGCACAGCAGTGGATCTGGTAACTGGGGTGGCTTCTGCAGTGTGTGGTTCATGTCACCGAAGGGGTAGAACAGGACTATGCAAGGTTTCATTACATGACTCAGAATTAAAACATGAACTGCCTATGTCTTCAATTTTTCTGTTTGCTATTTTCAGACTACTGTTGACTATAGGTCACTGAAATCCGGAAAGCATAAGCACAGAAGCAGTATTTTTATGGGAAATAAAGTGAAGTTTGAAGTAGTTATTTAGAAAAGCTTTCTAAACTACAAATCTCTTAAGTACTAGGTATTTTATCACCCATGTGGTAGAGGTTGTCTTTTGAATGACAAGGAATTGAATGCTTATGGTCAAATGGGTTTCTTAAGTAGGTTACCATAGTTACTAAGCAGACTGGCCACAAAGCGATATTTTAGGATCACGAAGAATTAGACAGAGCTGGAGGAGACCTGGCCACTTTCATCTCCTCTTGTCTGTTCAGAAATCCTTTTCATTTCAGTAGTAAGGAATGCTATCTGTGGAATCACAGAGAGAATACTGCAAAAGAATTAGGAAGCCTGAGACTGTCTCTCCCAATAGGTTCAGAGAAGAGGTATAAGAGAGTCTCTGTCAAGTCATTTATTTTTCATACTCAATGTTTCTTGCTTCCCATTTAGTATGGATAGGTTTAATTGATCAAGTATTTTTTTAGATTGGTATGGAGCTTGTCTCCTATGGAACTCAACCCTCATCTTTCTTGTTTCATCATCCAGAGGACCATGGAAGCCTCTCTTTTCGATTTTTTTGGTAGGAGCACCTTTCACATTTTTCCTCGTCCTTCTCTTGGTACTGTGTCTTTATCACATCATTCTCTGCCTTGGGTTATACTTAGATATGTTTGTCTGTCACAGTGGATTATGAATTCTGAAGCAAACCTGTGTTATTTATATATGGTCTATCTCTTGTAAAACTTGGACCACTTGTCCTTAAAAACACTAAATACGTGTTTATTGTATTAAGTAAACAGCTTTAGGGATTTTACCTTTTTCTAATGATACTGATAGTAATGGCTACCGCTTACTGAGAACGTACCATCTGTCAAAGGCTGTGCTTTACAGGATGCAACTCTTTTAATTCTCATGAAGAAACTGAGGCTTGGAGAGGCTTAGTGATGTGGAAGTGCTAGAGCAGTACAGAGACTGGGAGCTAATGGCTTAGAAAACTTCTAGATAAAAAGTTGTTCCAAAGTTTAAGGAGTTAAAACTCTATCTAGAGATCTTTTTCAACCTAAAGTAAAGGCCAAATAAAACATTTTGTGAGAAAGGCTATAGAAAACTTATTATTTTCATGCTATGCCACTACAGCCATAAAACTGAAAGAAAACTTTGTTCTTTTCCTGTACTTGAAGAGCATAGTCATTGTAGAAATCATGTTGAAAGGATGGCAAGGAGATACAACCAGAGGTTTCTCTTTGATTGGATTGAATTACTGTCACACTTTTTCCTTTACAATTACAGCACTCAAAATTAGTACTCACATGTTGTAATTTAAAGGAGTTATGTGTCTGTTAGTATTCTAGCACTTAAAATATTTAGCATTAAAGTTTAATTGGGGACTTCAAAAAGTGCATGGAAAAATGCAATTAAAAGAAAAAAATGAAAAATATAAACTATTTCAAGACCTTTTTTGAGCAATTATATCATTTACTCCATCTCTAAAGAACTGAAGGTCGTGGATATTTAACCATCTCCATGTGCTTTTTCTTTTTTCTTTCTTTTTTTTGAGAGGTTTTTGCTATAGGGCACATGAGCTCACCAGAAAACAGAGAGAGATGAAAGAAAGCAAGCAAGAAGTCACCACCGGGGAATTGGGGACTTCAAAAAGTGCATGGAAAAATGCAATTAAAAGAAAAAAATGAAAAATATAAACTATTTCAAGACCTTTTTTGAGCAATTATATCATTTACTCCATCTCTAAAGAACTGAAGGTCGTGGATATTTAACCATCTCCATGTGCTTTTTCTTTTTTCTTTCTTTTTTTTGAGAGGTTTTTGCTATAGGGCACATGAGCTCACCAGAAAACAGAGAGAGATGAAAGAAAGAAAGCAAGAAGTCACCACCCGGGGGGGGGGGATGGGCACGCCTCAGTCCCTTCTTCTCCATTCTCCTCTCAGGGATCTTGGGCACACATGCACACGTGCCTGGCGTGAGTTAAAGCCACTGGGTCTGGGACTCAAACTGCGGTCTACTACATGGGAGTCCAGTGACATAGCCATTACTCCAACTGCTGGTCCCTCTATGCATTTTTCCATATTATTAACTGGAAAACTGGGTATTCTTTAAAGACTTTTTAAAGATTAACAAAAAGGAGGAGTCATATCAGGGCCATAAGGTGGATACCTAATGATTTCCCATCAGAACTCTTGTAATATTGCCCTGGTTTGTTGAGACTGAAGAACTGGTACATCGTCATGGTAGAGAAGGACTTGCTGGTGACGCTTTCTTGGGTGACTTTCTACTAAACCTTAGCTTAGTTTCTCAAAACACTTTAACATTTAGCCGATGTTACTTGGGAACAAAGTACCTTGAGCATCCCAAAACACTTGCCATTTTTGTAGAAATCATGTCGAAAGGATAGCTAGGGAAGTATACCCAGAGGCTTCTCTTTCATTAGATTGAATTACTATCACACTTTTTTCTTTATAATTATAGCATTTTTGGTTTTTCCATCCTTTGGTAGCAGTGGCTTTGATTTTAAAGCTATGTGTTATCTTCCATTACAGTTCTTTGAAAAAATGCTTTAGAATCTTGATTCTGCTTATTTAAAATTTTGCTCTTGTCTGCTGCTTATTATTTTTGTTTACTTAATGTCACAGTACTAAAAATGTATATCTTACTCTGCAGTTTTAATGTTTATGCTTTTAAAATTTAGAAGTTCTTCTGAGAATAGGTGATTTTCACCTTCATTGTGATTAAACGAGGTTTTCTTTAAAATAATTATAGTAAGATGATAATGATTGGGAACCAGTCTTATTTTCAGTTTGTTGAATGTGTCTCCCATTGAAAAACTTAATCAAACAATCAGCTCGTCTTTTTTTTTTTTTTGTCCTGCTTAGAAAGACCTTATGCTAGTCTGTTCCGTCATGACATTCATAAATGAACACTGTGAGTTTTAAAATATACTTATTCCAGTAGTCACCATCTCTAAAGACCTTTGTAATTTCAAAACTTTTAAATTCAAGGTACCTTTTATGCTATCATATATAGTGACATCTGCTCAAAACTGATCTTCGTTTTTCTTTTCTTTTGCAGTGGTGGCTGAATACTTTACTGAAGAGTGTTTTTCATCTTGGGGATTGGTGAACAATGGAGAGTTTGAGAAGCCCAGGAGTAAAAATTTGTTCTATATATTGTGCGTTTTTTTTCTTCCAAGATGTTTTCTATTTCTAAATTAAAATAATTTCAAAATAGACACACTTCTCTTTTTTCCTGTCACCAATATTTATTAATTTTTTTCTAACTTTTTTTTTATTCATGATAGAGCATGTGCACGTGAGAGACAGGGAGAGTGATGACCACCTTCATGGGTTTGATCACACCATGATTCCCTGCTTTCATTCCTCCAGCCCCTCAGATCTTGTGCATTCATACACAAGCCTAGTGTTTTCCAACTAACCAGACTGGGGATTCGAAACATGGTCACCATGTGGGACTTTTCTTGAGCCAGAGAGTCAGCCCTATTGAATTTTTTTCCTTTTCACGGTGAGACTTTTTACATCTTTTATATACCATTGGTTATTGTGCTTCTCGAAAAGGAAATAAAGCAGACAGTATTTATCCAACCTTATATGCATATGTATTTATTAATTAATCTATTTGTTGGCTAGAGGTTGTATGTACTTGCCAAAAACAGAGAGAGAGGGTAGAAAGAGCAACCCCCATGGGAAATGATCATGCCACAATCACTTCTCTTCCATCTCTCCCTCCTTTCTGGATTTTGGTGTTTTCCCTTTATTTTTTTTTTTTTTTTTAAGTTTCTGTCATAGTGTGCATGGGCTTACTGGAAAGGGACAGAGAGAGAGAGAGAGAGAGAGAGATAAAGAAATCATCCCTTGAAGGGATGGCCACACTGCAGTCCCTTCTCCATTTTCTTTTTGGGATTTTGGGCACACATGCACCCATGCCCGGTGTGATTTTCAAGCCACTGGGTCTGAGACTTGAAATGTAGTTGGCCGTGAGAGAGTCTAGTGCTTAACCACCACACCACCTGCTGACCCGCAGTTCTGTCAAATTTTAATGATAGGGAAGAATGGATTTTTTTTCTTTGTCCTTTCTTTTTTTTTGAGGGGGGAGGGTAAATTGACTAGAGAGCATGTGGAACTTGCCATAGAGAGAGAGAGGAAAAATGAGAAAGTATCCCCATGGGGATGGTTATGCTGCAATCCCTTCTCCATTTCTCCTCTGAGATTTTAGGCATGCACACACACGCTAGTGTTTTTCAGACTACCGTGTCTGAGACTCAAACCATGGAGTCAGTCATGTGGATTCAGCTACCTTAACCACATACCACTGGTTAGATTACCTTCTTTATTTAGTATTTTAATTTACATTGTAGGAGAAATGAAAGGGCTTATGAAATACTGCACTTTCTGAGTCCTTTTCTTTCTTAGTCCATTTGTACTGCTTAAACAGTTTTTGAGACTAGATAATTCAGAAGAAATTTCTAGTAAGTCCAAGGTCTGGTTGCCACTAGATTTGTGTCTGGTGAACAGCTGGTCTCTGTTTCTAAGATGGAACCTTAAATGCTGTGACCTCACATGGTAAAAAAGACTGTGAAGCCTCTTTTTTATAAGGATATCAGTTCCACCTCTGAGAGGCCTTATTTCCTACTATTACTGCAGTGGACATTTAAGTTTCAAAATAAGTTTTGGAGGAACACATGCATTTACACCATAGCCCATTTTATCAGGTAAAATGTTTTTCTGTGATGAGAAGAAACAGTGTAAATAAAAGATGATAAAGGTGATGAATTTTAAGAGTTTCCATAGCACTTAAAACAGGCTAGTCAAGTTTAAACAAGGTTGGGTGCTGTTTGACACAGCTTCCTGAGAATCAGGGTTATAACTCCACAATTAGAAGTCATCTCATAGATGCACTAATTAGTGTCATAACAGAGTTCTGAATTTTTTGTAAGAATTTACTGATGACTCAGTAAGAAATGAAAAGTTTACTTAGCCTCTTTTTTAAAAAAATGTTAAAATTGAGTTTATTTCCTTTTTTTTTTCCTTAAGAGAGAGAAACAGAAAGTGAAAAATCCCCTAGGGGTGATGGCCATGCCTCAATCCCTTCTCCATTCTCTCCAGGATCTTGGGCACGCATACACACACATACGCCTGGCATGAATTTCAAGCCACTTGGTCTAGGACCCGAACCTCGGTGGGTCATGTGGGAGTCTAGTTTTGTAACCGCTATGCCGTCTCTTACCCCTGATTTTATGTAAAAGAGTTATTACATTATTTTAGAAACTGACTAGAAGCATCATTTGGGTGTATGTTCTCTGATCGTCAGTCTCCACGATAGGCCAATGTCTAATTAGTATGGCTGGAAGCTGGCCCCATAGTGCAGTGGTTAAGCACTGTGTGTAGTGAGCTGGATCACATATAGCTGACTGTTGTGTGAATCTCGGCTCTACTGGCATGGAGAACATACCTGACATGCACACGTATATTGCAAATCCTTATAGAATGGAAAATAGGGGCCAACAGGTCGAGGCATGACCATGTCCCACTAGGGTTTGCTTTTCCTTCTCTCTCATGTGCCCTTGGCAATTAAAATAAATAAATAAAGTACAGTTGTGTGGTAGTATTGTGGGATCCATAGTACATAGACCAAAGTCTTCCTGGTAATAGCAAGAGGTTTTCTTCCTATTTTGAAAATTTGTAATATTGAATGAATTAGTTTCTTCAAAGAATACCGTAAAACTTCAGCCGTCTCTAACGGAGATCATGTGACCACATTTTATAAAGGGCACAAAACATGCATATGTGTGTATGTGTATTTTATCTCTACACAAGTACATATGAACACACATGCATATGGGAAGGCTCTTCAATAAATGTATGAATAGCTAGCCCCACATGGCCACCCATGGTTCAAATCCTGGCTCTTACGGCTTGTAAAGCAGGCCAGGTGCTTGTGTGTGGTTCACAGAATCAGAAGTGGATGGAGAAGGGATTCCAGCTTGTCCACGCGCCACTAGAGGGTGCTTTGGCCCCTCTGTTTCTTCCTGATGAAAACATGCACCTTCTGGCAATTTAAAAAGCTTATGGAAAATGTATGTTATAAACAAATTGTATACATATATGTATGTATTAGGCACTTATGGTAGAAATCATTCTGAAGGGTAGACTGGCTTAGCTGCTGGCAAATGTATATTTTATTGCAAGATAAAATGATTCTGAGCATGTGTTTTTTTGGTGTAAGATAACGTGTTCATAGTATACAGTTGGGCTAGCTGTTGATTTTGATGACTTAACTAGTTCTTGTCACAAGGATAGGAAGTATTACATAAATACTTTGTATTTATGCAGGTAAATAAAGTGAGGGCTGGTCAAGTACTCTGGTGATAGAATAAGCTTCATAAATAATTGAATTTCTTCAATAGGAAAGAATAAATAGATTTTTATTAATTAATCTTACTTGTATATGAGAGTACTTTAAAAAGTTTATGGAAAAATAGAATTAAACTAAGTTGATTTTGATGCAAAGAATTTTGAAAGCCGTGGAGTCCTCATAATACACATTTTCCATGTACTCAGTGAATACCCTGGTAGAAGGCTGGTACTTAAAACGCTTCAGTGTGTATGTGAATCTCCTGAGAGAATTTCTCTAAACAGTCTTACTGTTAAATACCTACAGTAAACATGCAAATTCCCTTCTGATGGGAGTTCTACCATTTCCTTGAGCCTCTGTACCTTACAAGGAAGTTCTTGGTCAGCTAGTCCACCAGACCAAAATCTACTTTAACAACAAAGAATTAACAGAAGCACACATCAAGGAGGGAGACAGTGGCAAAGCGCTTTGGTAGAGAAGAGTAGGAAATAATGAAGACTACTTTCTATTTTAGTAGCTTCCTTGTGGCTGGAAGACATTGCCTTACTCCAAGTTCTGTCCTTGGGGCATTTGTCTGCCAGGTGTGTGTGAGAAACACTGGGTCTACTTGTAGGCAAAGGTCCCTAATTGGAACCTGAATGCAGGAGGCCTCCTCATGCATTGCGCTGACACCTTTTGTCAGAAAACTTGAAAATGATGTGAGTTCTACCTCTAAGTTATAACTGGTCATAATTTGGTACTGTAGGAAAAGTCTCTTGGTGGATTTCCCCACTCCTTGGGTGCTATCACCTTGTGTTTTCCAGGGCTTATTCTATAATATGTCACTCCATGAGCACTAGTACAGTGGTGTGTGTGCATTTCCCTTACAGTTTTGAGCTCCTAATAGACTTTGCTTGTTTTTGTTTTGTTTTGTCTTGTTCTCATTTATATACTGATTTCAGGCAAGATTATACTGTTGAATATTCAAACAACAGATCTTCACAGGTAGAAAACGTGATAAAAATCATACCATTCTGGGCTGGCAGGTGGCATGGAGGTCAAGGCGGCTAGGTCCTGCATAGCCAACTCCATTAGAGTCCTGAACCTGGTGGCTTGAAAGTCACACTGAACATGTGTGTGTGCATGCCCCAAAATCCCGAGAGGAAAATGGAGGAGGGATTGTGGTGTGGCCAATACCTTAGGGATTATTTCTTACATTCTGTTTCCTGCTATGGGGTGATTTCTCACTGTTTCCCTCTTATTCTTTGTTTCTATCTCTCTCCAGCAAATGCACATAGCAAAAAAAAAAAGACTCACATCATTCTACTTTTACCTTAGATTATTGTTTTATTCCCCACCCTCCAAAACTCATACCATATTGTGTATTCTATCTAGAGGGAAGAAAAGACATTAGTACTGTACTTAAAGTAGTATAGACTTGTGAGAGTTTTGTGTATTTGGGTTTTTAATTTATTTTAATTTTTATTTTTATAAAGCAAAAATTAAAGAACTTTTTTCTTTAATGGAGAACCTTATATTCTTTTGTTTGTTAGATGTTTCTTCCCTTTGCCCCTCCCAGCCATCCTCTGCTATCCACTCCCCTTCCTTTCAGTCTGTAGTATCTACACTTATTCTTTCTAATATCATGTCTTCAGATCTTTAAATTTCTGCTGTAGAGTGCAGGCATTTGGTACATATTAAGTGTGTACCTTTATTTTTTGAAGAATTATTTTATTGAACTTCGTTTATTTATTTACTTTAATTTCACCAGAGTGAGAGAGAGAGAGAGAGAGGGAAAGGGAGAAAGAAAGCCACTGGGTATGGGACTTGCACCACAGTCGGCCATGTGGGAGTCCAGCACTCTTAGCCACCACGTCAT